CACAACCCTCCCTCCAGAGCCTTACTCCTCCCTCCATAGAGCACAGCACTAAATATCACCACAATCCTGCTATTATCAGAATCCTGGTCAGTTTTATCACAGTCAGGGGTCTTCAGTAATACTATCACTGCTAAATAATAGCAGTATCATATATATTATGGCATTTGTAGGCGATGCTGTGGTCACAAGCTGAACAGCGGTGCTGTGAACTCATGCTGTGTGCGCCAGCCTTGGTGGCTTGCTCAATACCGACGCTCTAACACCCAAGAATGTTGGCCTGGATTTTTTTCTAGGTGGCATCTGGCAACTATCGGTCGTGGCTGTACTATAGCTGTCCCTATCCCAGGCGGGGCGTTTAAATTAGCTTTAGCGCTAGACACGAAATCATATATAAATGATGTGCGCGGTTTCGGTTTTGTCAAACTGAAGTATCATTTATATATGATATGCGCAGTTTGAGGGTTAAGTAAATAAACACTGGTGAACATGAAAAATGAGAGAAGGTGATGAGCCCTGCCTGATGGGATCATTTACTATCACCAAATTCACCTGTAATCACCTAGTAGATAAGGGTGTACCTTAGCTATACATACCCATTTCTAATTTATTTAGTTTGGTTTTATTTTGAAATTAAATCTGGGTGAGACATAAAATAAAAATATGCTGCACAAATGATGTTAGGTAAGGAAAAGGTAAAAACTTCAAAACTTTTCTCATTGAATACTTAAAGCTATAATTATGACTATATAGATTATTAAAAAAAGAGAAGGAAGTAGGTGTCCAAGATCTCTTCCTGTTATACAACTTGGGTGTGGAACAAGTAATTATCAAAAGAAGGCACCATGCCGGGAAGGCTATGTAGCAGTAAGGCAGTGAGGCGAGGCAGCTACTTATTTGAGGAATGCTTATTTTATTTACCTTATAAGCTGAGGCAACTTATTTTATTTGAGGAATACTCAGCTGATTCCTCTACATTTAGCATGGAACAAATTTGTGTCCAAGACCTCTTCCTGTTACTCAATTTGGCTGTGTGTAACCAAACTAGAAGTGCTCTACAAATCAAGGGACCCAGAATGTGGAATGACCTCCCGAATCATGTCAAAGGCTATACCTCTCTCAACCAGTTTAAGAGTAAAACCAAGTACTGCCTAATTAACTCCATGTAACCTAACTTACCTCCTAAATGTCAACCTATGTCTTGCTATTTTTTAAACAACGCTGTTTGTTCACCAACATGTGCAATTGCTGATTTATGCTATGTTAACCCCCCTTTTCTGTATTTTTTATTCCTTCTTTCAACACAATTTATACCTAATCCCGATTACTATTAAGTTTTAGTCTAAGTGTTTTTCCCCCCATACCTTGCCCGAAATGCTATGAGTATTAGTGGCTTTAGGTATTGTATGTACTAGCTCTGCCTATAAATCCAACATTATGTTTGTAAATCAACTGTATGTACTTTTCCTGAATAAAATGTATTTATTATTTATTTTTTAATCAGTAAGTATTAAAAGAAGACACCAAGCTGGGAAGGCTATGTAGCACCATTGTGTGTAACAATAAACCAAATTTTTTTTAACAAATAATGCACCTGTATGGTAAAACAAATCCTGTCAGCTGTAAAAATATTGATGCAGTTATTTAAATGAAAAATATAATGAAAGAAATATTACTGGTTTATTTTTATCCTATCTTTTTGTACTGTACAGTATATCCAAGGAAGTGAAAAATTGAGACATAATGCACAATTTAATGAATGATTAGCATGGATTAGCAGTTCAAATAAATATGACTATTACATATCAACATGAGATCTTAATGATCCATGGTCAACATGATTTAATAAGGATAATACTGTATTTGTAATAATACAAACTATAATTTAAAATCTTTATTACTTTATTACTAATTTTTTTTATTAAGAAGATTAGGTATACACAGCAATGTGCTGCTACCCTATTCATATGGAATATTACACAGTGTAGATAAAAAACTAGCTATAAGTTTATCTAATACTCCCATCTCACAGGATGGTTAGACATACATGGGTACATGCCAAAGTCTGACATTAGCATATCAGCCTGGTATAGCTCCGGGGAGCCGACGGGGCTACCCCCAGAAAACAAATCAACTCTGACTAAACAACTCTAAGCATGATTTTCACAAGAGGTAAGCACTGAATCATGGAAACATTATATTATAATTACTCTTGCCAGTTTCTACAAAACTCCTCTCAAACAATGTATTTTTTTTAACATGTTTAGGTATACACAGCAATGTGCTGCTTCCCTATTCTGTATAAAGGACCACACAGTGTAGATCAAAAACCAGCTACAAGCTCATCCAACATCCCCACCTCACAGGACGGCCAGTCATACATGGAATTAGAAGAGAACAAAATACTTAAGGCTGATCTATTAGCCTCCACTGGCAAAATCTGGGTGCAGCACAAGAATATCTTCCAAGAGTGTATGATAATTACAGAGCTCAAATACCTCATACCATTTGGTATGAAGTCACTGATGGACAATCACAGTATAGTGTTGGAGAGTAGTTCTCTCAAGTAGTGAAAACAGATGTTTTTTTCCACCAAGAGGGCTATAAACACCGCCTACCCGCTGAAGCTGTAAATGGTAAAAAATATCATTAAGACAATTGGCGGGCCCTTTAACAAGCCGCCGGCTTTCTGTCCTCTTCGAGGTCACTAGATAGTTAGTGGCCCTTGGGTAAATTCAGTAAATATATACAATAATTGTCAGCGCATCTTCCGAGCAACAAGGACAGCGACACAATATCTCTTAGAATTACGATAAACCAGCGCTAAATCTTCAATATGAAGAATGTTGCTGCTCTCTGATTGGCCAAACGAAACAGAGTAGTGACCTCTATCGGCACGCAGGCGAACCAACAAATTTCTTCCTAAGTGGAGCTTATTGAATCGCACCTAAGCATCTTCTTAGGGCACACTTAGGAACCTTCGTAGCAAACCCACTTACAAAGAAATACACAGAGCTTCCTGAATCTAGGTCCTGGATTTTTTTCTAGGTGGCAACTGGCAACTATCGGTCGTGGCTGTACTATAGCTGCCCCTATCCCAGGCGGGGTGTTTAAATTATAGCGCTAGACACGAAATCATATATATATGATGTGCGCAGTTTCGGTTTTGTTACTGATATCATATATATATGATTTGCGCGGTTTAAGGGTTAAAGCATAGAAGTGGTTGAAGCATAGAAGTAACCACTAATTAAAGAATGCCATAATTAGGAACGGTATAGTTAAGTCAGATTAGTGTTTTAGAAGTCTCGAGTAGTATCAACATTTTAATTGTGGAGGTTGATTTTTTTTATGAGTGATAAGTTGAAAGCAGTGACTACCTTATTCACTCTTCCCAAATTTAATCTGGTTCTGTTTTTAGGTTCCACCAATTCTACCTTATGTAGCTTCCGGGGATCAACAGCCCCGCGACCCGGTTGGCAGGCCTCCCGTTTGGTCGTCTGGTCAACTAGGCTGTTGGACGCGGCTGCTCGCAGCCTGACATGTGAATCAGCCAACTGGGCACACAACTTGACACGTTACAACACAGAAAAATGTCTATGCAATGCGACTGATGCCTGATACGTCTGAATATCCAACGAGGAATGGGTGATTTGGAGGACACGAGAAGAACAAATCCCACATGACTCTGGGTCATAGGTGTCACCAACCTAACAAGCAGCATGACGGTCACTGACTTAACAAGCAGCATGATGGAAAATGGTAGAATGGATGATCGTCACCCTGAAGGAAGGGCGACGAACAACCCTGAAATTCACACAAAGCGAGAGTGTGCTCAGAAAATGTATCCATAGTACAACCAAGCCCGCAGGGGGTTTTCTGAGGCCTATAGGATGAATGAGCCCTACAGGAAGCCCAGGCCCTGGGGCCAGCTACGCCAGTAAATCCCTTTGGTGCAGGCAACCAGACCACGAGAAACCGCTGGAAAGCCTCAGGGGTAGCAGAGGAGTACACACCCTAGGCTAGCCTAATAAGGTGAAAGGCAGAACCCCTCTGCAGAAGCAAGCGAGCTAAGCACCAGCAAACTAAAGATGAACCCCCAAAAGAAAAATTACAAGATCTAAACAATGGCAAACAAGCAGTCTGTGAGAAACATCAGTGCACCGCCGCTAGCTGAAGAGCTGCAGTGCCAGCTGCAGTGTGCCCCATTAGCCAACAACACTCCCTAACCCAGGGCAAGATTGAATGCCCAAGACCCCAGACGCACCCCCATGGGTGAAGACCACCACAAGTGAGACGGCCATGTAAAGGGGAGCGATTCCTGAATGACCCAGGGAAAGGAAACCTTGACCACGCAAGTGCATTACTTACAGAGCACCTAGGGAAGGTGACCCTAAGTGCATGCAGCTCCAGAACTCTAAATGCCTGGCCAATGCACATTATTGTGTTGGAACAGCCTCAAAAGGCAAATCGCCACTAATACAGGAAACTGTGGTCAGGGCGAGTTGATGACCACCAGGCACGAACATCAGTCAAGAACTGAGCTGGTGGCAGCTCAGCTCACCCGGGCCGGCTCCCCCTTTACCCAACGAGGAGGGAAATGGAGCTAACGAGCAGAGGGGTTTAGTTGGGCGAAGTTTTGGTTGTTGGTTTCCTTTTTAGGGGAGTTCTTTTTTAGATGAACTAATACTGTATTTAGATGCCTAAGTCACATTTTCCAGCCAGGCAGTAGTATCTTTTGATTTGCCTACTTTCCTGGGTGCTTCCCTGGTCGATGGAAAAATGATAAACTTTAATAGTAGTGTTTATGATGAGCCAACGCCTGTGTGAGGGGGGGGCCAGGTTCTGGCTTGTGGTCCCCAGCAGACATACAAGAACACTGCAACTGATCACTCCAAGTAGGGTGGCCCTAATCAGTAAGCTCAGGGAGCCAATAGGGCTCCCCACAGAAAATCTTACATTTCAAAAGACCAAACAATGAAAATATTAAAGTGAATACATACCCACTAATTTCTTCAAAGAGCGCTGTTCTTTCTTTAGGGTTCTTCATGGCTATGGACTCAACTGCCCCTTGGAACACCAAGAAGTTCTTGCCCTTGACATTGATCCCGAGAGCCTCCAGCTCCTTCATATATGTCTGGCTGCTCACAACCTATAACAAATATTTTTTAAGTACATTTAGAAATGGGAATAGTTCATTCATTAAGCTAAAAATAAAACAATAACATAACACATCAGAAATCACAACAGCGTGATGCATCAAATGAACAAATCCAAAAGGGCCGTGATGAAGGTTCGAACTTACGTCAGAGAGGATCCCAGAGGCGCCTTAATCGACTGTGCCATGACACAGTCAAAAGAACTGCAACCGGGAGTTCATCTGCCCTCACACGGGTCCTGCAATCTCTCAGAGACACAAACCATGGTTTTTACACAATTCCTCCATGCACCCGGGCTCTGTCAATAAGCTGTGCACCCAGAGCACAGCTTATTGACCCATGCACCCAAAGCACAGTTTATTGGCCGTGCACCCAGAGCCCGGGTGCACGGGAGAATTGTGTAAAACCCTGATTTGTGTCTCGGACGTAGGTTCAAACCCTCATCACAGTCCTTGTGGATTTTTACAATAACATAACTGAAAACATATAACCCAACCCTAACATATGTATGGCTTGGGTTATTTTATTCATTAACCACTGCACTGCACTACCCGACTAAGCACGAGGTATGGCTCTGTGCCACCCAACAAGGGAGTGTTGTGAGGATATCATGCAATTCAAATTGTGCGCACGGTAGGTTAGGTACAATTTGGAGGCCTCAGGCCTCCAGTGAGTGCAGCCATCCTGAAAAAATTTCCCAGCATGCCCCCAGGGCCACTGGTAGGCTTAGTTCTGAGTGACCAACCATGGTCGACACACGTGCCTCCAGCTCCCAATCCCCTGTCGAACATGATGTCGAAAGATCACTGTGTGAAGGGAAAATTCAGACATTATTGTTTGAAGAAGATAAGGGTAGTGATATTGATATCGCCTCCAAACCGGCTACTCAACAACTCCAGTTCGGAGGCTAAGCATCAAAACGACGCAAAAATCACCTACCAGAGGGAGGGTGCCAGGGAGCCTCTGGAGCTCACCCAGAAAGTAGTTTTTCATTACATTCAATGCTGGTTTTCTGAGGGGAGCCCCCTTCAGCTTCCTGGAGCTACATAACCAAAGATAAGGAAAAGAGGGACTTGCCCGGGAACCAGCCACCACACGCTCCTTAACTTGAAGGCTAGACAACTGGCTGCAACCTGCAACCCAAAGCCACACACGAACACCCAGGACCAGGTATGTTTACCAAATAATGGGCAGCCAGGACCCTGTTCAACCTCCAAAATCCTCGCGCCCAAATGTCAGCCCAAGACATGTTGCTGAATACGGCAGCCAAAGCAGCAAACTTCCCCATGTCGTGGACATGAGGATAGACTGCAGGCTGGCTAGACTTAATTAATAACCCTGAAAATGATCTGGCAGACCTAAGCCCTGCAACAGGGAACGAGGGAAACCAGATCAACCCAAATCGCATCCCAGACCACAGAAGCCGAGGCACACAGATAACGGCGACGACCCACATCCAGACACAAACATGATGCACCCCCAGCCTGACCAACCAAGATTCAATGACCCGAGGATCCCTCCGGAAAGCTGCCGTCTCGTTCTTCGCTAGGAAAGAAGGAGAAGGCTGTAACTGAACAAACCGACTACCAGTACCGAAAGAGAAGAAATCTCTGCGCCAGAGGAGGGCATGAAGCTCATCAACCCGACCCCTCATAGGCCAATGCCAACAGAAAGAGAGCCTTGGAAAAACAATCTTGAACCGAAGGGGCTATCTTGAGGTTATCTTGAGATGATTTCGGGGCATTTTTTTTTAGTGTCCCCGCGGCCCGGTCCTCGACCAGGCCTCCACCCCCAGGAAGCAGCCCGTGACAGCTGACTAACACCCAGGTACCTATTTTACTGCTAGGTAACAGGGGCATAGGGTGAAAGAAACTCTGCCCATTGTTTCTCGCCGGTGTCCGGGATCGAACCCGGGCCCACAGGATCACAAGTCCAGTGTGCTGTCCGCTCGGCCGACCGGCTCCTCCGCCTCAGGTAGAGTCCGGGGGAAAGGCAGCAAAGAAAGGGCCACTGATAAGGCCCAGAAGCCTCTGCAGGAAGAGCAGGCCCGAATGCCTCAATCCCCAACCCGAACAGGGCATACCCCGAAGCCGCCTGAGTTTCAGTACCAGCTAAACCACACCCCAACCCCGACACCCGCAACGGCATGGAGCCAGGAACACACAGGGGGGGGGGGAGAAAGGGGAACAACGAATAACCAAAACGGGGCAGTCCCGGGGCATCCGAGAGGGGAACCATCCTAGCATGTTGCAGCAACTTAAGCCTAGCATGCAATGCAGATGCTGCCTGTACTCTAACAATAATATCTTCAGAATAGGACTGGAGAACAAGGAAATACAAACCTGAACGAGTGCCTGGAAAAAATATGCTCAGTAGCACTAGAAATATGTTCAAACCGCATACCCCTAAGAAAAGAGAGAAAGAGATGCAGATTGGAACGGGAACGTCGTTCCCTATATAGGCGAAGAAAACGAATCGCGGAACAACTTGAGAGTCGCACCCTATCTCAAGAACGGCGAAGGTGGTTAGGTAGAGAAATAGAAACAATTGAACTCAAGCTACAAGAATCATACAAAACCCAGGAGAGGCAAAGAGAGCAAAAGGCCATCAGTGAAATAGAGAGAAATCCGAAATATTTTTTCTCCTATGCAAAATCAAGATCAAAAACCACATCTAGTATCGGGCCCCTGCGAAAGGGAGATGGAACTTTCACAGATGACAACAAAGAAATGAGCGAGTTACTGAGGAAGCAGTACGACTCTGTTTTCAGTGAGCCATTAAATGCACTAAAGATTGATAACCCAAATGAATTTTTCATGGATATGATACCAACATCAAATCACATATCAGATGTCGCCCTATCCCCACTAGATTTTGAAGAAGCCATAAACAGTATGCCTATGCACTCTGCACCAGGCCCGGATTCTTGGAACTCCATATTCATCAAGAACTGTAAAAAACCACTATCGCAGGCCCTTCACATTCTGTGGAGACAAAGCCTAGATACTGGCGTTATCCCTGACATACTAAAAACAGCAGAGATAGCACCACTCCATAAAGGAGGAAATAAGGCAGAGGCAAAAAATTACAGACCGATAGCACTAACATCGCACATCATAAAAATTTTTGAGAGAGTGCTAAGAAGTAAGATCACAAAATACATGGAATCACAGCATCTCCATAACCCCGGACAACATGGTTTCAGAACAGGGCGCTCTTGCCTGTCGCAGCTGCTGGACCACTATGATATGGCATTAGATGCTATGGAAGACAAACAAAACGCTGATGTAATTTACACAGATTTCGCAAAAGCTTTTGATAAATGTGACCATGGTGTTATTGCACATAAAATGCGTTCAAAAGGAATTACCGGGAAAATAGGCAGATGGATCTACAATTTCCTGACTGACAGAACCCAATGTGTAATAGTCAACAAAATAAAATCCAGCCCATCAACCGTGAAGAGCTCAGTCCCCCAGGGTACTGTGCTTGCTCCAGTACTTTTTCTCATCCTCATATCGGACATAGACCAGAACACAACCTATAGCACTGTATCATCCTTTGCAGATGACACTAGGATTTTCATGAGAGTTGGCAACATAGAGGACACGGCAAACCTCCAATCAGATGTAGATCTCAGAGAACACGACTCGCAAGTCTCCGGGTCAAGGTGTCGTTGACCCAACAGGCAGCATGACAGAGGCAAAAGAGGTGACTGTCACCCTGATGAGACAGGAACACACAGCAACCTTCAGACCTGCAACCTTCAAATCCGGGTTGGTGCGGAGGTCCACCGACCCCCGAAAGGGTTTTCCAGGGCCCGTGGGCTGACTGCAACCGGAAGTCCGGGCAAGGCGTTACCAACCAGTTAATACCCAAAGCTAATAAGCAAGAGCAAAACACTGAAACCCCTGCAACGTGTACAATCGCCGGGACCTACCAGAGGGCCATCAAAATATTATACATGGAACAACAGACAGACCCCCACCAGGCAAGAAAACAAAAACAAAACTAAAACCCCACAAAAGCACAATGTTCCCAGAGGAAACAGGAACCGGCCGCCGCATAGATAGGCAGGCAGTACAACTCCTTGATGCCCTAATCAGCACGATACTACCCACTACCCAAGGCCAAACAAGGGTCACAAAACCCCAGCTGAAACCCAAGGGAGGGGTAAATGCAGAGCAGCAAGAACCCCTATCAAAAATGGTTTCCCGAACGCAACAGGGAAGATGACCCTAACACTCAAGGGCAGTACTCACAGGGCACCTAGGGAAAGAAGCCCCTAAGCGCATGCAGCCCCCGGCACTGAGGACACCTGGCCATTACACACAACTTCACTGCAGAGGTCGCCACAAAGGCAAACACTGCTTTGGAAACCGAGGCCAGAGAAGACATCCGCCCAGGACCACATTAGCCAGCAAACTGGATGGCCGAGTAGCCAGCACAGGGAGGTCTGGGGCTTCCCACTTCCCCACTTGAGGAGGGGAGGGGAGGGGAGAGCTGCACAAACGAGTAGAGCAGCAGTGGAGTGTGACGTTTGCTCGTTTCCTTGGGATTAAAGGGAGTTCTACCTCTGTCTTTCCAGTTGTTAGTTGTCATTTTCTTGCCATGTGGGGTTTGTTTTGTTATGCCTATCTTTCTGTGTGCCTAACCCCAGTCAATGGAAGATAAGGAAACCCCCAACCACAAGGGGTTTTTTCAAGGCCATTGCTCCCTGCAATCTCTCTGAAGGGGCCAGGTTCTGGCTCGTGGTCCTAGGTAGGTCAAACTCCATAGACTAATGCCCCGGTCTAATATATCACACACATTAGCCCGATAGCTTCAGGGAGCCGAAGGGGTTCCCCACAGAAACATCATCACCGAGGGGCACTACTGAGCGAGTCAGCATCAGCGACAGGATTGACCCTGGCTGTAGGCCAGGAGCTCTGGCTGCCTACAGTACTAATGGGTTCCAGATAGGTTCAAGTTTACCAATTATTTTCACTGAATTACTTGTGAAGTTGTTTGGCTATTTCGATGCTACGCTCCCTATGAACCTTGTAGTTCTCTGTAAAGTTTCACTGACTTGCTTCCTGTACTGCTGGGGGTGTTACGAACCTTACCTCCTGTGAAGGTTAGCTTCTATTATCAAGCATTTATTCACATGAGTGTATTAAAAATGTTTTCTTGAAAGAAACCTGCAGCTGGCAACTGGGAGGCCACGAGAGAATATTATTACTCTGCCATTAAAGTAGTGTGCTTCAGCTGGAGATTGTTTAAGAATAACGTGCATTGGCACATGCAAAACTATGGAGTGGAGTACAAAACTATGCAAAGGAAAAATGGACTCGATCAAAAAACCTACGTGGGGAATATGGTAAATACAGTCAATAAAGGGTTTGATTGCAAATGTTAAAGAATATAGTATTAAGGGGTGATGTTGCTACAGGGACGGGATGGGCACCATCTTGACCCGACAAGAGGAGGAACGTTGACGACCAGTTCTTGTTTCCTGAGGGTTTTCTCTGGCCGTACAATCAGATAAGCCACAGGGTTGTATTAACAGGGTGGCAAGGAAGGGTAGAATGCTCTGATAGTCTACTGAACAGTTAGTTTTGAGAGTGAGTCTGGATTTCCTAGGGATTATGTGTGTGTCCCAGGCTGACAGAGGTAGTACTGGAGTGCACAGTTCAGTGTTGGACTAAGAGTGGTATGGGGACCAGAGCCCATTTGGGTGATAAGAGACAATATTGTTTTCCTTCTGAATGCATTGATTTATAAGAAATGAATTATGTTATGTACTGTCACGTGTGTTTTATAAATATACATTTGTGTCATACAGTATATCTACTAGGTTGTTTCCCTACACCTTGAATTCCCCTTGGCCCAAGTAAAAGCCATTATTTCCCCCTAGACAACATTAAAATACCTGACCACAACACCCTGAAAATGTGACATGGGGCAAGAGTGGGGGGAGGCCACATTCTGGTTCAGGTCTCAAGTAAGCCAAACAGGACTCATGACTGATGTGACCCAGTAATAGGAAGCCATCTCAGCTTCAGGGAGCCACCAAAGGGTTCCTCCCAGAAATATATACAGTATATCTATGTATATAGGGTATAACAAAATTATTTTACCTCGCCATTGATTTTATGGTCAGACGAAGACCCCTGAACCAAACGAGTAAACCGCTTCTCCTTGCCATCTTCCATCTCAAAGACTGCTGTTACATGAGCTGAACGAGAGATTGGCTGGCCAATGGAGGCGCCATGGATGAGATCGCTGAGTCGTTTGACTCGTAAACTTGAGGTCTTCTCGCCCATGACGAAGGAGATGGCATCCATGAAATTTGACTTTCCTAAAAGACAAAGAACATAGATTATAGCTACAGAAATAGCATGAGTATAATATGAGAAGTTCAAAGCACATATATATGCATGAATGAACAGCTACAGATGTACTGTACAGATTTATGCACTTTAATATCATGCCTTTCCTGCTTATTACAAACAAAAATGAACTAACATATTATAAATATACAAAGGAGTAATTGCTTATAGTTCAACTGTCTCATGCCTATAGCCTGATTTAGCACAAAAATGATACATGTGCATCTTGATATTTTCCCAAAGAATTTGAAAAGCGAATTATAGTTTCTCACCTAAAAAGCAAGAGTACCCAGCCAAAAACAGTTGCCAGCAGTGAAGCATGAAATACAGTCCACATTCCACAAAAAAATATAAAAAAATAAAAAAAATTAGTTAGTTAATAGTTAGTAACAGTTGATTGATTGACAGTTGAGAGGTGGGCCAAAAGAGAGCAGAGCCCGACCCCCGCAAGCACAACCAGGTGAATATAACTAGATGAATAGTCAGAAATTCATGTCAAAAACCCAGTTTCTGGATGAGCTCTGGTGGTTCCCAGAAGCTGCTACTGAATAGGCTCACTTATCTGAAGCCCGCTGATTATTTGGTTTTATTTTATCTGAATTCCCCTGAATTCAGCCAGCCAATCTCTCATTCAGCCCATGTAACAGCAGTCTTTGAGATGCAAGATGGCAAGGAGAAGCAGCTTCTCCCGCTGATCTGATTATTTGGGGTATCGGACCAAAATTAGATGGATACTTTTCTGGCATACTCGCTATATCTGGATAGAAATACGGATAACTGGAGATTTGGCCAGATAATGCAGACTGGTATAGGCTCTAAATCAAGTCTACTACCTTGTGTCTACTTTGTGTAGTTTCTGGGGATCAATGGCCCCGCGGCCCGGTTTCCGACCAGGCTGGGGTTGGTCATCTGGTCAACCAGGCTGTTGTACGCGGCTGCTCTCAGTCTGATGGATGAATCACAGCCAGGTTGATCAGGTATTCTTTGGAGGTGTTTGTCGAGTTCTCTCTTGAACACTGCGAGAGGCCGGCCAGTGATGCTCCTTATGTGTAGCGTGAGAGTGTTGAAAAGTCTTGGGCCCCTGATATTAATAGAGTTCTCCCTCAGCGTAACTATTGCACCTCTGCTGTTCAACGGGAGTATTTTGCACATCCTGCCATGCCTATTGGTTTTATGTGATGTTATTTCTGTGTTCAGATTTGGAACGAGTCTCTCTAATATCTTCCTAGTGCAGATTACAATACTGTATTGTATTATGTATCTCTCTCACCCGCGCTCTAGTGAATACAGATTTAGAACTTTTAATCGGTCTCAATAATTAAGATTACTTATAGAGTAGATTTTAGCAGTAAAGAATCTTTGCATGCTCTCTAGATCAACAATTTCTCAGGCTCTGAATGGGGCTGCTAAGAGTGCAACAATATTCCACCAGAGAGAGGACTAGTGTCTTGAAAAGTATCATTGGTATGGCATCCCTTGTTTGGAAGGTCCTTATTATCCAACCTGTAATTTTTTTTTATTTTTTTTTTTTTTAGTCATGACAGTTACTTTATGGTGTTCTGTAAAGGTAAGGTATTCTGACATGATTACGCCTAGATCCTTTACATTGCTTTTTTTGTTCTATAGTGTGATTTGATAACATTTTATTTAAGATTTCCATTGTTAAATTTTCATTTTTTCCATAGAGCAGAGCTGGAACTTATTTTCATTATATATCATATTATTATCTGTGGCCCATTGAAAGACCAGATTTATATCCAACTGGAGGTTTGCCGTGTCCTCTATATTGTCTACTCGCATGAAAAGTCTAGTGTCATCTGAAAATGATGATACAATGCTGTAGTTTGTATCCTTGTCTACGTTCCGGTTACCTTGTGATGATTTCAGGGCTTAGCATTCCCACGACCCAGTCCTCGACCAGGACTGTCTTATATTAGGATGAGAAAAAGTACCAGAGCAAGTACAGTACCTTACCTTGAGATACCTTGGGATGATTTTGGGGCTTAGTGTCCCCACGTCCTGGTCCTCGCCCAAGCCTCCTGAGAAGGCCTTGAGCAATGTTTCCCAACCTTTTCTGGGGGAAGCCCCATTGGCTTCCCGGAGCTATCCAGGCTGATATGCTGATGTCAGACTTTGGCATCAGTCATGTGTATGGAGTTCTGTGGGCCTACTGGGGACCATGAGCCAGAACCTGGCCCCCCCAGAAGAGGCACGAGGAGCAATGGCTTATATAAAACCCAGTGTGGTTGGAAGCATTTTATGTCTGCCATCGACCGGGTCAGGCACCCAGAAAGGTAAGGGTCCCAAAACAAACCCCCTATTCTGGTGAAAATTGCGACGAAAAGCCGAACAAGTGGATAGAACTCCCCAAACAGAAATGGGCAAACTAGTATGACGTCACACGTTGTCACACCGCTGTCTGCGCAACTCCCCCTCTCCCTGGTAGGGGGAAGGGGGGAGCTCCAGACCCCCGTGCCAGCAATCCACCTCTCAGTTTTGAGGCTGATGCTATAGGCAATGGTCATGTGCTCTGGCTCCAGTGGTTGTTTCTGCACTGTACCTTGTGTGGTGACTGTCTTCTAGGTGGTGCATGAGCCGGGAGTGATTCTTCAGTACTCAGGCTGCACGCGCCAGGGGTTTTCTTCCCTAGGTGCCCAGTAAGTACTACCTTTGGGGCTTGGGGCCGCCTTCCACAAGTTCCTTGGGTTCTACCTTTGCTAGGCCATTTTTGGCTGCCCTTTGTGTGCTTGGGTATTCTGTCTCCCTTGTTCGCCTTAGGGGAGGGGGCATTTTGCACTGGTAGGGGTGCAGGGTACTGCACAGCTTGTTTTCACCAATCATAGCGGCCAGCTCTGTTCTGCTTGGGTATGCTGTCCTCTTGCTGGGTTTTCTTTTTGTGTGCCTGCCTGGTGGTGGGGTCTGCCTTGGTTCTTGACCCCTGTGTACTGAGTACTCTTCTAGTTTCTGGTGGTTTCCCCTGCTTGGTCCCCATGAGTGTACACGTCCCGGGGGTTCAGTTCTTAGAAGGTTGTTTGGTAAATTTGGGCACCAGTTAGCAGTACCCTGCCTGGGCTTCCCTGAGCGTGAGTTCCGCCTCAGAGCCCTGGGAATCCCCATGGGGCGCGTGGGTCCAATGGATGTGACCCCTGAGTCCCCCTCGCTTTGTGCGGGATCGAGGGTTGCTCTGCCTCTTGTCTCAGGGGTGACTCTCATTGTTTTTACCTCTGTCGGCTGCCTGTGAGGTCGGTGGCACCTTCGACCCGGAGTCCTGCGAGTTTCGTTGCTTGTTGGTGACCCAGTTACCCGATCTAATGCTGACTATGCAGGTGCAGGCAGCACGGGCGTTGCACGTAGGGTTCAGGTGGTTGCAAGGTGCTAGGTTATTTGCTCCCCGGAAGCCCCGAGGTTGTCCCGTTTTGGTTGTCATGACGGGGCTCGGGGGTGTTGGTTGCTTCGGTTTTGTTTCCTTCTGTACCCCCTTGTCTTTTCCCTGTTGTGATTTTGTCTGGCCTCATTCCCCCTTCCTCCCTGCAGCCGGATCCTTTCCATCTGTGGGTTTGGGGGCGGGGATTCGATGGTTTTGAGATTCGGGCGGTCTTGGGGGTTTCCCCTTCCGAGGTAGTGACGGAAGCATTCGAGCCTGTTCCTCCAGCCGTGTTGTAAGTCTGGCAGTGGGCTCCCTTCCTTAGTAATTTTCTTAGTTCCTGGTTGCCCCAGCTTTTTCTTGTGAGGCTGGGGCTTTGGGGGGATGACTCGGCCCCGGGGCCTGCCGTGGAGGTTCCCAGGGTTGGGGAGGGACTGCCTTGGAGGGGGGGGGGGGGCCTCGAGCCCCGTTGAACCGCGCCAGGGTTTTCTACCCTCTGAGCGTGGCTTGCGGTTACGGGGAGAGGGGGGTTTTCTTTTTCCCCCTCTATGTACGAGTTGTTGAGCGTCGGCCCCTCCCCAGGTTTGGATCCTTGTCCCTTCGGGTCCGTTCGGTTCCGTCCTATTGGTGGGTACTTTTCTCCGTTTCTACCCCCTTCTCTGGGACGGGACTTCTCCGTCATGTCAGGGGTCATGTTCCTCTATTATCGGGGTTCTGCATGACTTTTGGTCTCGGGTGACTGTGCCTTTAGAGCCTTCGTGATTTTGTGTTTGCGTCTGTGTGATCTCGGGGGTTCGGGAAGGTCTTCGATTCTTCCAGCATTACTGGAAAGTCTGTCGTCTTCCGGTGAGGCTTAGCTCCAGTCCTTTTTTGGACTTATTGGTCCTCTTCCGTGCTTCTTCTGGGTTTTTGGTACTGTCTCGTTCTTTTGTCATTATATCTTCTCTCTGTGCTCTGTCTGCTAATATTTTTGCAATACTCCTTGTCTAGGCACTGCTAATATTTCTGCAATACTCCTTTTGCAATACTCCTCACTCCTAACTTGTCCTACATCCTATCCACCAACATTGATACAAATAATTGATTTGTTACCATTTCCAGCCTTAATATCATTCATGAATGGGACCTGACAGCTGAGTGGACAGCGTTTCGGATTCGTAGTCCTGAGGTTCCTGGTACGATCCCCGGTGGAGGCAGAAACAAACGGGCAGTGTTTCTTTCACCCTGATGCCCCTGTTGCCTAGCAGTAAATAGGTACCTGGGAGTTAGACAGCTGGTACGGGCTGCTTCCTGGGGATGTATGATGTTACAAATTTAAGTGCTGTTATGGGAGGTCTAGAGTATTAAGGAGAAGGGCCAGCAGTTAGAATCAGGAAGTATCAAATTTAGTGGAGAGCAGATAGGCCCGGCCCCAATAAAAACAAACAATATTCAATATCTGGCTTTAAGTTTAATATGTCCGTCTAGCGGCTGATCACTGTTCCACTATACAGGAAGAATGGATACTCCTTTAAAAACTTATTTATTAACTTATTTATTATTTATTATATTATATTTATTATATTTATATTTATTATTTATAAATAATAATAATAATAAATATTA